CTAACTAAGTTTGGCTAATGAGTTCGTTGGCATAAGTGTCGTATACTGAATACAGTTTGTATATGTTTCAGTGGACTATAAACCCGAGGCTATTGTTTACTCTGAATAAGATATTTTTGCAATTCATGTCATGCTTAGTCGCGTCGTTATAATGCTTCCACAAAACGATACTGTGCATTCTGAATACTAGTGTCACAACCGGGTTTTCTCTTAAAAATTTTTGTAACATAGTTTTTTCTACTGCTACTTTATAGGTACACAAATTTTTCGCAATGTAAGGTATAAAGTACTTTCGTAGACATTACAATAAGAAAACATTTATGATGTACACCGGGTGTACCTACTAACAAAATTACTAAGATCTTCGTTCGTAACAAAACGGTTTACACATTAAGGAAGGAACTAATTTCGCACCCAGCTGTTGTGCACCGAAATATTTTCAAAGATACAAATCTCACTTTGGCGAAAAGGTGAGGTTCTTAGACATCTTATATTGAATCGAGAGGAGGGTAAAGTGTTTGCGGGACCGTTCCCTTCGAAAGAAAAATTATGGGTTCCGAAAATCCGAACCGTGACCAATAAAATTAACCTCCTTCTATTCGATCCTTTCTCGATAAAAACTCAATATTGCTACTGTATTTAGAACTGGGTTAAAACCACAACGGATGTAAACAAAAGTGACAGGTGCTAAAAAGAATTCCTATTGATATTTCAATACAAAAAGCTTTACCAGGAATTTCGACTGCCTACTGCGTATAATTAGAAGCTACATTTCCTTTCGACGAAATTATTTATTGCTGGAATGTGCGGTTTGGAAGCAAATCTATGACGAATCTATTTACCTGCCAATTGTCAAGATAATCATTTTAAATAAGGCAATCAGATTCGAATAGAATTAAAAGTAACGTAAAGGTACTACATACGTACAAATATAATTGCATTTTTAAAATTCATTAAGTACCTACCTAATCTTAAAAATGCAATTACATCTGTCAAAGGTTTGAACTGTAGCTTACGAGAGTTAAAAAATAAATCAGTTTATTGTCTGTGCCCAAAATCCTGCGCATCAGTACTCCACTGATATAATTCTACAAAACCTGAAAGGCTATTAAAAGTACCCTTTCACTTTGTACCGTATGCATAGTGTAAGAAGAGTAAAAATAAAATATACGCGCGAGTCTTGTCATCTTCACTCCAAAATTCATTTCCCTTTGTTGTACCACGTCACTGCACTTAACCCGTCCGTGACTCTAGATTAAAATATCTCATATACGTACTATGTTAGAACAAAAAGTCTAAAACTGTGCATTTTCAGAGTTTTACAAAGGTTTTACAAACCGAGGACCGAACGTTATTTGATTACGGTATGCGCCTCTGCCATACAGTTCTCGTTTTCTAAAACTCGGTAATTATGACCGGATTAAGTGTTTCCATTGGTGATACGTAAATCGCTATCAGATTGTTTAAACGTCTACATTCGATCTCCGTTTCGATACAAACACTTAGGAAAAGTTAGGAACATTCTTCCTAACTTTTATCAGGCATTAATCTTGCTATCATTTTTAACGTATTTTCTTCGATGACGGAAATAGATTAGGTCAGGCCCATGTGCTAAACACCTTTTAGTATGAAATCGTCTGTTGCCAACAAAACGGTAGGCTAGGCATCACATATCTTTTCCTCTTCCACACATTAGATGGGGAATGTACACGAAACGTAATTCTCCTAAATCCCTGCCAAAGCTGACACTGACATATGGCCCGTATAAAGCTACCAAAAAAAACGAATAACGAAAATTACCCAATAGGCACGTAGAAATATCTAGTGCCCAAGAGATTAGTGCTCAAAGCAGTCATAGAGTTTCAAGTATTAAGGTCAAATACCAAACCGAACAAAGTATTATTGGATTTTCGGTTTCATGACGAATTTCCCCGAAGTCATGTTAAAAATAGGTGAATATGCTTCTTTTGATACAGGATGAAATTGTTGTTCGAATTTGGAAAATAGAGCAGTATCATGCGCATCATAAATACAAAATCTCGCAATCTAGCGTTGATATCGAAAATCTTATCATCTGATTAATATACTTACAGGAGCATTTCTTAATACTCCTTACGTTAAATAACAAACAAAAATAGATTGATTTCAACACAACACTACCTGCTTCTACAAACAAAAGACGTGATCTATTTTATATTCCTTTTTCTGTTAATCAGTGATAAAGTTTCTGAGCTTAAAACCTTTTTCATTAAACTCTTTTATTTGGACATCGGGTGGCGTAGTAGAGTGTAAAACTAGTTGTCTTTTACGTGTCCTGCGTACTAGGCAGGAGAACTAGCTCGTAGTTCGTGACGACAAAGAAATGCGATGTTCTTTAAAATACTATAGACATTTTCGTCTTGGTTTGTTACATCGCTTGCTTAATTCAACTAGCTTCCGCCATCGGCTTCGCCCGTTTTGAAGTCGGATAAAAAGTAAAAGACCATAATCCACCCCTTTTCTAAATTTATAGAGGCAGAGCGCATAATATTTATTTCATTTTTCTCATTTTAAACTTTCGTATTGATAATAATTAATAATATATATTGTATAGTATTTGGTTCCGATAAGGAAAATCGTAAATTCTCGCCGTCTACTTCATTCTAACTAACTCTTCGTTGAAACAAACATTTTATAATTGTCAATTGTGCACCATGGGCTGAACACAGACATGACATAAAGTTTGAAAAGAATCGCACGAGACTTGGTCCTCGTAAAATATGATTCCCATGTTATCCCATAGAACCATTTAATTGGAATGAAAATATTCTATCACCTAAGTCATCCCATACCCATCATGTATACCAAATTTCATTAAAATGTGTGAAGTAATTTTATCATGAATGACGGACAAACATCCGAACAAAGAAACTTTTACATTTATACATAACTAGTGACCCGCCTCGGCTTCGTACGGGTGCAATATGCATGTATTATTATATATATATTATACATATAAACCTTCCTTAAGAATCACTCTATCTATTTAAAAAACCGCATCAAAATCCGTTGCGTAGTTTTAAAGATCTAATCATACATAGGGACAGACAGACAGCAGATAGCGACTTTGTTTTATTCTATGTAGTGATATTAAGTGTGATTCTTGAACTTTTTATAAATTAAAAATAGACGTTAATTATTTATTATTGTTTGCCAAGAAGTCATTGAGACATTAAACGATAGTCTATTTAAATCTCTTTTTAAGTTTTAAATTGATCGTAAAACCGCGTAGGTACACGGCGTTTGATTCTTTTGATTTTTTACTGTAATTGTAAAAATGGGTACCTACTTGTACTTTGATCTATTTTAAAATTGATGTTTCAATAATGAGATATATCTTATACGTACGTTATGACTACAGGATACGCAATTCATGCATGATACACATAAATATTAAATTACTAAAAAAATATTAATCCGGTGTATGACGTAGAAACCTTTACATCAAAAGTCCAACGTGCGGACAAACAGTATACAACGCTACGATCTATCGTGACGTTAGTTTATTTTCTTTCTTTAAATCATTCAATTAATCGAATCGGTTTCACCAGAAACATTCAAAGTGCTTAAGCTGTAGTAATTTATAAATACAAATACCTAATAACAAAAGCATACACGAGAAGAGGGAATAATTTCTCAAAATTTACCTAATAGAAAAATTGCTGATATTTACTGACACAGATGAAAGCCGGTTAGCAATAGTAATCGGTTGTTGGCAGTATTATCTAAATCGGGATGTTGTACGCAAACCTTCGTTTTATAGACAGTATAAATCTTCAAGTCCACAAGCTACTCGACTTTTATAATCAATTACCGTCTCCGATCACTCGTTCCCAAAGCCCATAAATATTCAACAAGTAACTGAGTTGTTTGCGTTGAATCATTTGCGGCCGCTTTTTAATTACACCAATTGATCGAGAGTATTTTATTATAGCCCGTATTACGATTACAGCTCAGTTAGACATTCAGTAACCGAATAGTACACATAAACTCCCACCGCTCGCCGACCAGCTACTCGTAGTGCTGTGTAAACTCAAACAAACAAGTATAATAGGGTTACGTTCGCTGTTTGATCCCCGGATAACAGAAACCCAAAGCAAAATTCGACAGTTCGTCTACAAATTTCAACCAAACCACGTTATAATATAAAATCAAAGCAACAAAAAGGGTACCGAAATCTAAGAATCCATTTTGACTAAGAATCATGTCAAAGTTAAGCTTTATAATTTGTTTCTACTATTTGATCTCACAGATCAAATTGATAAAGTGCTTGCCAGTTCCAAGAAATATAGCCCCCACCTCTTGGTTCTAGTAAATCTGTTTCATAGATAATACGGATCTTGAGCGATGGGAAGTCTTGATAAATATGTAAAAAACCATTTTCTTGGAGTAAACTGATGGACGAGGAAAAGTCGTAAAAGAAAATACATGACGCGTGCTCGTCTCACCGATTTTCAATACACCATTTGTCATGTATTACATTAACACTCAGTCGAATAACATTTGCCAACGATAAAGTAGCTCGAGAGTAATAAAATAATATGGTGTAGCTATTAATAACAAGTTGTGCCGAACTAAAGTCTTTATAAATTTTATCAAGCCCATTCCTTACGTCGTAACCTGCCACTTCATAATTTAGGGCTGTGATTTATTTTGTGTACATAATTTAAAAACAAATAAATGTAAAACAGATTTTAAAAAGGGTTCGCGTAAATGTCAAGGGTTATCAGCCAGAGTTTTCCCAATTCCTCTATCCTGAGGAGTACTGCTACGCTTAGAAACACGCGAATATGTTTATTTGTGGTACTTGGAGCGACGCGCGACGCACGCGCAAGCCATGCCTTCGCCACTTCAGTTGTTCCGTACCAAGCCGTACGGACGCGCGTATTATGATGAAAAATATGTGTGTGTCGTGATTAAACGAAATACATGTGTTACTTGTAAACAGTGATTCGGTTACGATGTCTAACAACAAAGACCACGGCAAGCAAAGAAAAAATGAACATTCATTGAAGCACTTACCGACTGAAGTGTTATTAAAAGCGCGAAGCACTCTTTTCTCGTTAGGTGGTGCACTCAAGCCAAAACATGACCAACAACAAAGACCCAAGTTACCTAAGCAAGAAGCCAAAGACAAAAAGAATCAGGAGAAACTAAAAACCAGCCGATCTGAGCCAGAATTCAGTGAAGTTCGTAAAAACAAGCACAGAAGTAGAATTGAAGAAGTTCATCCCCGTGACTACTCTGGTGGCTTGAGACCTAGACCTTTATCAGTAGGAGCTACAAAACGATATGAAAAGGAATTTGATGACTATCACAGCGGGCCTTTTCCAAAGGAGCCATCACCGTTACGCCGCCAATTCGACTCTGCGGAAGAAGTTTGTGTGCAGTCACGTCTTGTGATACCTGTTATTGAAAGACTGAATCCAGACATCCAAATACAGGATGTCAATGAAAGACCTAGAAAAAAACTATCGTTTCGTGAACCGGAGATAATTAGTAGTGGAAGTGCGACATTGGGTCGTTCTCATAAGTTAATGGGTGTAAATAGTCTCTCCAGAAGGCCTAACAGGCTCTCACTACGCTCAGAGCCTCATTCCTCAAGTTTAGAAGGATTGGATTCAGATTTAGAGGTACGTGTATTTAGATAAATCAATTTTTAAAGAATTTGCCAAGAATGACCGACGATGTCCATCAGCTTGAAATAAAAGCTCTGTTTTGATTATTACCGCTAGAACTCATCTTCTGGGTAAATTAAATTTATTATTATTTATTTATATTATGCTGTCATATGTCAAAAACAAGAAACGTAAATACTTTCCGTTGCATTTAATTTAATTTAAAATTACGCGAAATCTGAATTTGTGGACGTAGGTACATGTTTTGGTTGACAACTCGAATTGTTTGTTCTCGATGACTTCACGTTATGAAAACAGTAGCTCTGTTGATCTGTTCTATACAAGACAGTTAAATTGGAATAGATTGTTTAAGGAACAAACTACAATTACGTCAACAGACTAATTGGTACACTTACGTTGATGGCCAAGAAACACATTCGGATGGTGTAACATGGAAGCTGTAACAATAGCGAAGCGGGCAGCGGGTGGTGGTCCAGCCACATAATACTATACAGACCAGCCAACTGTCTGATGTTTATTTTGATATCGGCCGCGGGCCGTGGCCAAGGACCGCGACGCTCACGGAAGCGCAATTTCTTATAAATCGAAATCTCCAGTGACATTTATCTGCGTATTATTTAGCCGTGGCGTAGACTTACGTCAAGGGCGATACTTCCGTCGTCAAGTCCATTTATTATTTAGAAAACTTTGGTAGAACCGGTAATGTTTGCACCAAAGATATTTTGGAACTGCCGCCGCCAACGTGTGAATTACGCACTGGAATAGTTACTAAAACATAGTCTCGCTATCATTAATTCTCTCGGTGCGTTTAGTTTACATTCGGAATCAACATACAAGTGCTAATGGAGTGAAATGAAGCATACAGTGTACCGCGATTTGCTAATTGTATTATAATTACACCTTACCTACAATATGCAGACGACTTAGTATAAAATATTTACTACGCGTAGTACCGGGCGGTGCAATCTAAGGAAATACGTGCTCTCATTTAACTTACCCATGTATATTTGGGAGTTGATAACTTTATTATGGTGTTACTTACTTACTTCATGATCGTGAGTCAGTCCGACACCATCAAATTACCAAGATATCGTCGTTGATCACGGAAATCTTTCACTCGCCCACAGTACTCACGGTTCATATTGATACTCATTAAAGCTGTACATGGAAGCTCAGTAATTAATGATAAACAATACATTATAATAATGATGTTTACCAAACAACTCACGTAAAATTATTGTTAGAAGCTAAAGGCCAATTTAGTGTTTACACCAAAGTTACTTTATTATCTCTTGTTAATGTTCGGTCCATTTTAATGAAGTCAGTGTATTAATATGCATGAAATAATGTTTCCCTATATATTGTTATAACTAATATTCATAATATATTTTACTAAAAATCTAAATCCAGCACAACAAATCAAAGAGAAACATCTAAGCGGAACGAAATCAGTACTTTTTGGCTCATAGCAGAAAAAAAACTTTATTCACGTAAAATACGACGTCAATAAAATTTATGTTGAACGACATTATAATTTTTATTACGTCCACTATAATTGTAAAGAATTAATACGATTCCAAATTGTAGATTCGTTTAACGTAAAAAATGGAATATAAATTTGCAACAGTTGGCCAGTCTGACGTTTTGTATCGATATCCGATACACCCTTGCCAATGTCACATCAAACCTCTCCTACTGTGCTACTTGACTTTTCTTATGAAATGTTAGTAATTTATTAGTAGGAGTAAGATGCAGGAGTCGTAAACACGGGGCTGCGCTTTTATTGAGAGCGAACTCCGTCCGCGGCGGTACCGGCACGTACAAAAGCTTTTATCCTAAACCAACCGCATTTCTTTGACCTCACTCCAGCTAGAGTGACGACGCCAGCGAAAATAGACGACTGACGTGTACATGGCAATGAGGTAGCCAAAAATTATGATCGGCATAAAGGTCATTGTCTCGGCCTCACCAATTTTTGTCCCAATTTCCCTAAAAATAGTTGTGATACCACACAGCTGTGTATATACAGAGTCGTCGCCGTTTCCATTCTCTGTAATATTTTACGAAATCCATTGTTCCATGATGATTGATTTACTTTTTAATTAGAACCGCCAATAGGCCCATTTTATGAAACAGGTGTGCATTTCATTCGCCTCTAGTTTTTTATTCTTGTCCCTCGTTCTTAGCTCTTTTTGCTGTCTACCTGCTAGCTTGTAACTCGGTGACGCCTTATTGATATTCCAGACACAAAAGACATAAATAATTTCGAAGGATCAGTTGCGGAAAACTTTATAGACAAAATCGATGTTGTAAACCCCATAAATATTTGATAAATGTGTTAAATCTCACAGGAGTTCATAAAAAACTAAACATGAAAGTCGTAAAAAGATTATGTGATAAATATTAAATATACCTGATACAGTGAGTCAGAATGCTACTTCTGAGGACGTTCAAAATATTTCCCGGATTTTATGATATTAGAGTAATTGATTTGATTACAATTGACTATATGGGAAACGCCAATGGAACGTTTTGACGGTACACCACAACTTGAACTTTAACAATAGAGGTGTTTACAAGTTTGTGCAATTCAGGCTGCTTTTGTTTCCGGGTCTTAATGATCATTTGTCATTATCTGGTCTTCTGTCTTAACAGGAGCGAATAGCTTAATGTTCCAAAGCAGGTAGCTAATACCCGTTTTAGTGATCCATCAGTAATCCGCGTACAAATATTGGGCGTTTCAATCATCGATCAGTGTCAAACTTTGCCATTATTCACACAAACGGGCCTTGAACGGCTATTTATTTTATTATGGATATTAAGGAACTTGAATTATTAGTTTCTATCGGCCCGACAGGCCCGTTGGAGTTTTCAGAGCGAGTCCGTGCGTGCGTATTCGAGGTATCATGAAAAACTTTTCGCGAAACACATTTATTTCTCTGTAAAGGTTTTTTTATTATTATTTTTCTCACAAAGGTGTAATGTATTTACGAAGTTTTATAATAAAGAGGGACGCGTGTCGAGACTCAACCGCAAATCTTGATCCACTTCTAACGTTCAACAAACGAACTTTGTTCAAAGCAAATTAATTGAGTTCTGTGTAAAAACGAGCATGTTTTTTGTTTCCCTGTTCGTACTGTCATATTAGCGTCAATTTATGTAGAATCACGAGGCTTGACAAATAGTGGTATCGTATCTTTTTCTTGAAATGCACGAGCAGTGGAATATCGTGTCGATCTCTGGCTGCTCGCCAAGGACTGCCGCTGAACTCTGTCTTGTGTCCACTCCATTACACTTATTATAAAGATTCCACTTCATTAGCGCATCTTGTCCAGAAATTCCAAAATTTCAAGCTCAATTTAATATTATAAACTGGAATTATCCATTTAATATAGTGCATTAGATAGTTATTGCCCGATAAACGTGTCCGAATTATATCTTCATGTTAGCTAGTCTCTGGAAAATATTACTCCGACTACACGAAATTATTGTGCGATAATTTGTGATTTGCACTATTACATTTGGATATATTTTATGATAACTTTCCACAAATTTTATGGCAAAGAAAATGAAAACATGCAATTGACTAACAAAAAGTTACTTCTTGTACTTACCACAAACTCCGAAATACGAAACCTTTCAATCCAAAAGTTGTATCAGTCAATCGACATCTAACAGTTAAGGTTTTGGTTTAGATATTTATTTACCTAATCCATATACATATATGACTGTGTAAACCCCAACCTATTATTCTTTATAAATACGATTGTGTCGGGTGAATATGAATAAAACACTTCATTTATTTTGAAAGTCATAATATAGCTCTTATATTTTAAATCACGCAACTCTCAAATGATAACTGACGACGATTGTAACCCACTCATCATATCTGTTAAATATGTCTCTCTCAATTATTTTCTCCTATGATTTTATGACGGCAGTAAAAATTGTTTACTCATGAATATGAAAATGTAGATAGGTATATAAGCAGGCAGATACATTTATGCCTACCTGTGTTTTCATTTACCGCGGATGATTGGGTTATGAATAATATCTTCGGTCGCACGCAGCTTGGTTCGATACATGGTACTTCGCACCGATATTTATGTGGTAACGATTTTGTTTCAATTTCACGGCTACTCTTTGGTTTGAAACATAAGCGTTGAACCTGAATAATCTGCTCCATCCGTTACGCGGACTGAATGAGAGGAGCATTAATTAAACACATGTCATCTCCCACGCTTACTCCGCGCCCAGACCTTTTATCTCCCCTTTGTAAAATATCATTCGCAGTTGTACCCTTTTATTCCCATTGTGAGTCGTGGCAACGGGTTCAACGCTCTAAAACGCAGAATAATTTGCACGTCTTTCAAAGTAACTAACAGACAACAGTACTAGCACCTCGGATTAGTGGTCGCCACGTTAGAGTACGAGGTAAGCTCTTTGCGAGATTGATCCTTTAGTTGGTAAAACTTTGAGATTTACTTATATATGTTTGTGAATGCTACTGAAAAGTAAAATAAAAATATATCTTTAATAGCAACAAAGATTTTAATAAAATTATTTCTTAAATTAGGCACACAATTTAGGTAGGTAAATATATCTGTCTACACTGCAAGAAAAAGACGCTGAAAAGTCACCACATTGTAGATATTTCGCTACCGAGCACTTAGCTAAGATCCACAAACTCTCGCCGGCAGTTGTGTGCCTTGCTAAACTATTACTTAATAGGTTTAGACACACAACTTGTAATATTCGAGACAAACTTGGACTGAAGCAAACCAGTGGCGGAACTCTCCATTATTAATACCTTGACATTCATTAAATTGTTTGCCGTGGCGACAGATGTAACAACCGACATTGTTGCCTTGTTGCCTCAACTCCTGAATACTGGAACATCACGTTCGCTTCTAACGAGTACATTGCATGAATAACGCTCTGGAAACACTGAGAGAAAAATTGTACCTCGCACAATATGATTTCTTGTGTCTAACTTACCTGTCCAAACCAGGTTGATATTATCTTATCATTATTTTAACCTTCGTATTTACGGTGTCTTTAATATACTAGACTGTTTTTCATATACTATGCGAACATAAAATATTTCTTAATATTAATGAAATCTCGACAAAACTTCTTACAAATCTCGCGATTTACTTTTGTATGATAAAACTATAAGAAAAATTGTTTGGAACGTAAAGTGGCGTCGCCAAGACAAATAAACGAAGCTTTGACTAAGAAGAGTTACCCTTCACAACGAAAAGCAACTGTGCAAACTGCGATAGGGTTGGAAGCCAAACCTTACACACAATAAAAACAAGAAATAAATTACATGGACTGGTTCATGTATTAATAAAATATCGTCTAGATCGAGTTCTCTTATTCAAACATATCTTATGAACACTATGTATTCCTTGTATTGTTTACTTTCCTCTCATAACAGCGACATTTTTCCTATTCTTCATTACGGTGAGCCATCTGTTCATTCTTTGATACAATCTAATTATGAGATGAGACAATATGTATTGTGTTCATAACGAAAATACACAATATCAATCTCGAGATCTCAGCCACATCATGCCCTTAATGTGTATGTGTAGCTAACAGAACACTTATTCAATAAACACGCACATTCTGTAAGTACTTGATTCTCATTCAACTGGAAACCATCCACGCTCCTAACAGTACTTAAACAAGTCGATAGCAATAGCACTTGATGTTCAGAATTAGGCAAGTGGATAGCACATTTTGAGAAAGTGATCTTAAAATTATAAATTACATCTTTCTAATATAGACTAGGCGGTTTCTCTTTGACTGAACCAAAAACAGTGATCGAAGCGAAACTACTTAAACTTTTGTACAAAAATGTAGTTTTACTCCTATACCTAGTACTTGTATTCTGTGTGACCTCCTGCTTTGGGTTAAAATAAATATCTTGTTACAGAGTCAAGCGATGAGGATTGTCCGCACCGTGGGTCAAGCCTTCGAGGTGTGCCATAAGATGCAGATCAACTCTCCGGAACAACCTGCGCCCTCCACCTCGTCCGCTCCGGATGAGCCAGTAGCCAGCGGCAGCGACATGGCTGCTTCCAAAGGTTTGATATCAACAACCTCTAACTAAAGGGTCCATCGAACATAACATAACGTTCTACCAATACGTATTTGGTTCGGTTGCGTTCTACAATAGACGCAAATGTATGTCACGATGACCCCTTTAAACTGGAGTGCAATTATACATATTATGACTTGACATCACTGTTCGCATGAAATGGAGAATTTAATTATAGCAACCGAGCTCTTACGTCGCCTGGTTGATATACGAATGTTTTTGCCTGTAGCGACAGATTGTCTTGCCATTTATAATATGAATTCTACCTTTGCTTTGCGATTTTTAATCTTGGCGAGTTAATTTTTCTTGGCTAGATCGCGACTTTATCAATGTACCTACACGTATTTTTTTGCAATGCGAGTAAAATATAGTGTGTCACGTAAATAAATAACTTGGCCAGAATGTTGATGTGGATATACATATTTTACAAAAAATTATAAAGACGTCAGCCGGAATGTACTTTCTTCGATCGTTAATTTTAAGAAAAATAACTTAACCAAATTGTAATTTATTTACTTTTACTGGATAATAAATTATTTCGATTGTAGTAGTAGTTATATGAATTTAAGGCACCACTAATCTTAAATGAACTACAGACTACAAAGACAGCATAAAATTAAAAAGTAAAAGATGTCCGTTAATAAACTCTATTAAATATTGTTTTTAAAACACATAACAAAACGTATAGTTACGAAATTGATACGTCAACTTCTACAATATCATGTCTTGTATCAGCTTTTATGTTGATTGCATTAGATTGCCTCTGTTTTGGTAGTTGCAGCGTACAAATAAATAATGGCGGGTGGTCGGTGCAATACGGTCAGGTTTAGTTCCCGCGCGCAAACGTTGCTCATAAGCGGGAAGTCATAAAGGCGAGAGGTGCCTTGTGCCAACAAGACATCAGTCGACATTATTATTTTATTCCTCAGTGGGCGGTCTTAAATATAATATTATTATTTACTAAACTTGTCAACTCATCATTCATTACATGTCAGTATTCATTAATTTATGTCCGGTATAAAAGTTTTACTACAGACGCAGACAGAAAGGGTTCCCGAGTAAATAGGAACCAGCATTACTTACGTTTTCTTTTTCATGAATCTTATAGTACACCGATATGTTACTTCTCTCTCCTCGTATTATTTGACGGCTCTACTTGTATCACAGTACGAAGATGACGTCACATTTTCTTTTTTCGTTGTTACTGCGGGTGGCTTATAATTAGCTTTTATGTATCGTTTTATGACATCCGACGTAACGGGTAGGTAACAGCTGGATTAACGAGCAACGTCATAATTTTATTGCCTTTACCTTAATCTACATAGTCATACCTCTACTGGTCTGCCAACTTTTTATAGGCATTGGACATTTTATTCCTTCTTGAATACACTCGTAAAAGTCGCGTTTTAAATATTTAAAGGTAGTTTATACGCTATTTTTCCTAACAACTTCATCGCGTGAATATACTTTTATGTTTTCGTGACAACCGTGTCGCTTCATTCGCTGCATGTAATTTGTGGCTTCATGCAAATATCGTAAACATTCGTTTCGTATTTTTTCTCACATTGTCACTTTTTGCGTGCAAACAGGTGGCCTATACATAGCGCATCACACCGCTCTTTTCAAAACCCCAAATTAAGGAGAGATAAAACATTCTCGTTTTAATGTTTAAGAGATTTTCTTTAAGATCTGAAGAAAATGTTTAGTATAATCCGTCTGACGTCTTTATACTAAAGAAATATGTACCGCTAGCCTTAGAAAATGGGTTCCATTTTCAGTCATTGTTAGTAGAAGTAAGTGGTGTTTGATCAACAGAACCGGCTTCCGAGTGTGGTGCCTCTGAGGGGGCTGCTTCTACCACCAAGGTGGTGATCGAGGAAGGAGCTGTAGGAGGCCGTGAGGAGCGACCCAAGACACTGGACCTTCTGCCTCCTCCGCCAAGGAAGGAGGGCAAGCGAACCCAGGTAAAGTATACATACGCTTTTCTTAAAATTTTATGTGTATAGACTAGTATCCACCCCAAAAGATATAGTTTTCAGGTACCTATAAAATAACTAAACTGAACTAATGATTTAACCAATTCAATTCAGTACTGAAGTTGCAAGGTAGCCTGCATCTGTGGGCTAAAACTAAACAGTGCCTAGTAAATTAACCCAACTCGTTCTGCGCGAGTTCAACGTCTAGTTTAGATACCAGCCCGTCAACTTACTGCTATTTGTTCACTTTCTTTAATTTGAACTGCAGTTTTGCATTAGAGTATTTGAACATAATTTGATCATCACCAGTAACACTGTTTCGATTAAATTATAGCTGTTTGTTATGTCATTAATCAATCAGTATCATTAAGTATTGGTACTTAAGTATCATTATTTTTTGAGACGTAAATAAATTGTATCTATAAATGGCAACGATTTATTCTTAACTGACGAACCATTCCTATCGAACTTTATTACGTCCACAAATGGAGTCTTCAGAAGCGAAATAAACTTAGCATTCTTCAACATTTTTTATGCATGAGAAAAATTATCATATTCAATGGTTTCGTGTATGTAATGTCTTAATACAGAGATGTATGTATGATAATACTCATACATAATATCTTCGTACGTATTTCCTTCTGAAACCTGCATAATGAAGGTATTTTAAATTCACTTCACTGTACGACTTCATGATTTTTTCATAACAACCACATTTGGTTTACGATTTTATGGCCACGAGTTTCTGATCAAAATTCGCAGTTTGTTGAGTGATTTAATTTACAAAATAGCGATTGCAGAACGTGTCGCGGCTTCGATTCCCTTATAGAACAACTCTTTGTGTAATTCGAAAAATACTTTCCGAAATTTCATTAGTGTTTGTAAATGCACCCGCGATACAAGAGAAAAATCGGAAAAGAAAACTTGTAATATATTAAGAAGATGCAATATATGAAGACATATTAAAAATTGTACACCTCTGTCTACCCCCTCAGGGACTAACTACCACGATGTAATCCAGATACTTGAACCTCATAAAATAGAACTCAGCTCCCTGAACAGTTAAGTTCTATACTCAAGTACTAAATAATAGTTAACGACTCATGAAGTCGTGTCTAATCGCGCATGATCGTAAACACACATGCAAAATGATTCGTGTGCTCATGCGCATATTGAAATGTCACGACTGTCTCTATGTCCATAGAAATCAAAGTTTAACAAAGCTAACTAAACTTATAAATTGTAGGACGTTTATTTACCTACTCAAATACCTAGTAAATATTCTAGGAACCGTCGAAACTCGATTATAGAAGTAAATCACTCGTCTACTGAAGATTGCCATCAATAAAATACCCACATAATTATGTATTTGTCATTTATCAGGCACATAGGTACCTACCTACTTTTATTTTCCATGCCAGTCTCGTAAACTTCGATTATCAAATAATCCAATTAAATATTTTAATCTTAAGTTGTATATATTTAATTTAGTAATATTTAGTTTTAATTTTATTTAAGTAATAGTTAGTTTTAATTTAAGTTTTTTATTTGAATAAATGCTTAATGACCATTATTTCACCCAACTTAGAAATTGAATGCAGACCTTGTACTCGGTAATCGCATTCACAAAAATACCAGCACTACGGCACTACATGCACAGAAATGTGACCATTAATTAATATAATTCTCTGAGCTAAACAATTAAATTAAACATAGACCAAGACTTGTTACAAATAGACGAGGATCTAAACAAATTTTCTAGAAAGACAACAAAGGGAAATTCCCAGGATAATAATATAACATAAAGTATGAGCTGCATATTTGATAAGCTCTATTATTTATTTAGCCTAGGTAAATAGTTGTATGGTACAAATTCTCCAGGCGACTTCTCTGCTAGACTAGTCTGGGCTTCCAAACCGGCATTGTTACCTAATTAACATTTCCAATGGAACACTAAATTCTCAACGTCACCTGGGACCATTCTTATTCGTAACTCACTTCTCTCACTCGAAATCTAGAATTAAAATTTCTAGCATTTTCCAAAAGCCTGACTTTGTGGGCTTATCAAATTCTGTAGGTAAGTTTGGTAGAAGTTCGTAAAATTGAAGTTCATATGCTTATACGACTGTACTGGTTAATTAGAAGAACATATTATTAATAGAGGTAGATGTGTTTTAATTTTCGAAATATATTTTTAGCTTTAAGATCAGGGGGCTTACTCTTGAATCCAATTCCGATCGATCGACATTGGTATTGTAAAATTTCGTACTCTTGAGTTGCAACACTAGTGCCCATTGCATCCGTATTGCGTATATATTTCATGAACTAATTGGTATTGAGTATGGTTTTATATTCCGTACTCTGAATGCTATTTTAACAGCTACGATAGGGGTTGTATAATTTTGACATTGAATAATTATTGAGATTTTATTGGATTGAAATGGCATTGACATTGAGATTGGTTTCAAGAGTAAGCACCCTGGTCCTAGAAATGTCTTGCCATTATTTCGCTAATTAGAGATCTTTCTTACAGCGTATTACGTACGTAAGTACCTGCCTACATGTATTTTTTTGTATTTATTGATGACTATCCCCTGGGGGTTTGCCCGCGTTCCCATGCAATAAAAAGTAGCGTATAAAAAGTGTTAAACCAGACCAACATTTCATACCGATTTCTTCTGCCGCTTCGACGTCTTAGAGTCGAGGTTATGTATGTATGAGTCGTAACAAACATGCACACACACAAACTAACAAACTTTCGCATTTCTTTGTATTTATTATGTTAAGAGCAATTTTTAAGATGTTGATTGGTTGAGCAAATTCACATTTGTTTAAGTCATATAGCTCATTATTAAAAGCCGACAACTTAAGTCAGAATCGTAACGACACACGACGTCTTTGTTTTTTTTAAATTGATCATTATTTCAAAGGAATTATGCGCCATATTTCTTCGAACATAACGTGTACTGTAATCGTTCCTATTTTAATCATATAAAAACATAAGCATGGCGCTTTTGATCTTTTTTTCTTCCGTTGCTTTACATAATACACAAGTAATTCTTTTAAGACGATTCCCTTGAGGAAATCTTCTAATCTCAGGACTTTACTCTCCTTATTGGAATTAAAAAAACTCCTCCTTTTGTTTTTGTTTTCGTTATCAGATCGACTTCAGAGTGATTGGGATTTTCGTCCCAATTTTGATCAAATTCAAATAATCTTTTAGATCGAGTCTTATTTTTAACTTCTTAAATATTTTATTGTATGAACATAGCCAATTTGTTGGATTTAAAATACACAATGGACACAATATCGGCCGTTTAGTTATTCTATTTGGTTTTTAAAGCGTTTATCAACTATTTATTTTTGTTATTTTTTCAAGGACTACACACACACCCGTCGGGGATTACAGACCATTTTGTTTTGAAGCGGTCAGTTAATGAAACAACTAAACTCATAACATTTTAACCTCAAACAAAAAATAAAACGTTGGATACACTTTTCTTTTGTATCATTATGAAAGTTGGTTTTATGTACTCGTAAGTACTTAGATAAGTGACTTTTGCCTTGTTACGAAACCATTTAACATAACTATATTTTCAAAATTAAACAATTTGCAGAAGAATATCACTCCCAATTTGGAAAATATGTCAAAAATATTATCTACGGTAAATTGATAACTATTACATAACAAATTATATAATTAATTAATTGATAATTATTTATATAGACTGCCTCGTTGGCCGAGTGGTCGCAAGTGCGACTGCCGGGCAAGGGGTCTCTGGTTCGATTCCCGACTCGGGCAAGGTATTACTGGGTTTTAAAAAAATCTTAGTAGTAGCACCGAGTCTGGAAATGTGCCCGGTATATGGCAATAGGCTCACCCCCTATTACATGGGACTCATAACATAAATAGTCAAAAGTAAATCCTAAACAGGAGTAAATCCTAAAGTGGGGCAACGGTTTTTTAGAAAAAAAAAAGGGGGTGTTACTTCTAAGTGCACCTCTGCCTACCCCTTCGGGGATAAAAGGCGTTTTGTAATGTTATGATAATTATTTAATAACACCTATGTGTTAATCAGCATTAACAGCAATCACTATGAACATACATACGTACCTGCGTTACATACATACATACATAGAAAACCTTTCTCGCCAAAATATCAAAATAACAATGGCGGCAACAAAAGACGTATTACAATAGAAATATGAGAAATATAATTTCCATCTGAGGATTCCGTATGAGTTTTACATTAAAATTTTTGTTTTTAGGCCCCTATTTCACATGTGAACATGACTACACAATATTCGAGTACCCGTATTGTTAATTGAAATCATGAAACCATTGTTTCACAAGGTACTGTATTATGACGTCACATCGCTTTTGGTCTAGCGTAATTAATCTACTAGGCGTTACGCATGACTGATATTTATAACCCTCTCAATACGCCATTTGTATTCAATAACAGATGTTACAGGTTCCTATAAATTGCTCTATTCTTGTGATTTAGACGTATTCAGAGTTTATATTACCTAGGTGCCTCATTGGCTGAGTCGTCGCAAGTGCGACTGCCGGGCAATGAGTTTCGGGTTCGATTCCCCGGTCGGGCAAAGTATTACTGGGATTGTAAAAACCTCAGTAGTAGCACGGAGTCTGGAAATGTGGCCGGTATATGGCAATAGGATCACCCCAACTCAATGGGTGTTACATTGTATAGTGGCATTAAGTGCCGTAATGTGCACCTCTGCCCCTTCGGGGATAAAAGGCGTGATGTTATGTTATGTTGTTACCTATGTTTCTGATCCAGAAAGAAAATATATTCCCAGACATGATACAACGTTTCCTTCGTATCTTTGAATCTATGTATAAAGTAATTATTTCATGTAGGTATAAATAAAGTGAAGGAAAATGTTCCAATATAAAACAATAAGATACTTTGAACAAACTTGTTTAACTAAAATCAATCATCTAAATATTTTGTCAAAACTAGCTAATGGCTTGGCTGGTTCTATTGATCGCAGCCGTGATTATTATTAATGGTTCATATTGTACACTCTAGTTACATTTTTTGGAAAAATTCACTCATAGATTCGGATAGAGCTTGAATGATTGATAGCATTTTTAGAGCAGAATATTTCATAGTCACTGTGATGTAGGGAGGGAGGGTTTCACACACATTCGGGCTATCAACACGTATATTAGGATCTGTTTGGTTAGGCTTTATGAAGCTAAATATCCTTCAAGAGTACTGTGGACAAGAGGTCAAGTTAAAATGGACAGTAAAATTAGTCTTTGAAGTTACGACACTAAAAAGTTTTACATCACCTTCCCTCGAAGTGTAATAAGTTTTTTTCAGTCAGGTTATGCCTCTTCGTACTAAGATGAGTGCTTGATACCTCAAGTAAGCACCCAAGTTACATAACAGAAATTGTTTTAGTGCACCACTACTTATTTGGGTGATGCCTAAAGACCAAAGTTGTTAACTAGCACATAAAAACTTGTAAAACTTCCTACCCAAAACTTTCGCATATAAAGTAAAAAGTTTTAAAATTATAGGGTCGACTCGAGAACTCGTTGCTCGAATCCACTAACTATACTAAGTACTACGTAAGTAGGTATACATAGCACAAAAGAAACAACGGCTCCGGTAAAGTACACACCGATATTTATGACCGCACCGCAGTAATGAATGAAATATTTGACCTTTGTATATGTTGATCAGCATAATTCTAACAAACGTGGTAAAAATAGATACATTATTATCCGTACTGAAAATAGTAGCAACTACTCTCGATAATCGCCCTCCCACATCGAATCCGAGAGCGTTACTTACAATAAATCAAACCTATAATAATATCATCGGAACGCGAATGTCTTCGATCCCACTTCAACTGGTTCGGCTGTCGGCTTTCGGCTTACCCGCGGCACTAGTGACGCGAATAATTCACTAAATTATATTAAAAGCATTCTCGTAATAAATTCTGGAGGTAATTCTCAATAGGTACGTTTGTATATTATTTTATTTGCGTCGTTAGTATTCATATTCTATGTATTTGTGTCCAATGCGCAGAACATTTATAATTATATTTACTGCATGAATAATATTTTATCATTAGAGTAAATTACATTTTGCATTACATGGATGGGTAACATGTGAGGTAATCGGCGACATTTGTTCTTGTTCAATAGACAGACATCTACAAATGTACTGGCTTCGCTTGTACTTAGATAAGTAAATACATACAATCAACTCGTCGCCTAAAGAGCTTCGGTTTCAGGATCTATAAAAACGCTCTACATTTTCACCAAAAGCCTTATTTGTAGGGTAACAATGTTCACACGGACAAACATTGGCCACTAAATATGTAATTACAAACCATCCCACGTCTTAAATATACGATATCGTTCACATTACACTACATAGACACTTTACAGAAATGTGTCTTAAGCCCTCCTCGCAGGCGCACGTAAGGTAACCGTGAGTTTACAACAAAACTAACACTAACTTCGGTCGAGGTGCTTTGAATTTTGCAAGAAGTCATTATGCAAAGATCTCGCGTAACGACGGTAAGTTTAAAATCGCGACACATTGCGCCACGCCGCGCCACTGGATACAACAAGGAATTTCAAACGTCTGCAGAAACGCTACTAGACATTTTGGTACATTGGAGCTGGCGCTAGTAGGTATTATCTACCCTTTGCACCCAAGTCACGCCCCTTGTTTCAACAGAACGTTTTCTTCGATACAAAACCGCATATCTGCACTGCTGTTGACCTCCTCTGTGCCCGCCGCCTCCGCCGTGACTCTCTTACACTATGCTCGCCATGTTTATACAGCTTCTCAGTGTGAGGCTAGACCAACGGATGCTAGAATTGGAATCGAAATTAATTCATCCATACGTTTATCTTGTTACACACTTACCTACACGTATAGAATTAATTTCATACGTAACTAAGAGAAGTGGTATGAAATTTCAGTGAGTCTCGGGCTAAAAGGTTCGAGCGTAATGTCGTGTCAAGTCACGGATGTTTTTCCTTGAATCGGAAGACAAAGTTGATTATACATAAGTGCAGAGTTATGTTATAAGTGTCAGGTATTCCAAATTAAGCAATTTATGCATGCTTGAAATTGAATACAGAATCTTCTATTCTTTGTTCCGTTTCCGATCATTAGACAAACAAAACAGTAGAAATAATTGAACAATAGTGTATTTGCTACTACATCCATCTTCAAAGCGAAATGATATGCTCTGCATTGTTTCAAATGAAAATAATATGTCAGATCTTCCTCTATATGATGACTTTTTACTGCTATTGTGTAGGCATTGTGATGTTATTCGTGGAATTGGAATTCAGCCAATTAGATATCAACAATAATTCGTATTCATTGGTACAAAAGATTTTATTCACTCATTTCCGCCGCGTCGCGTGCTATGGAAATGTCAGTATACGGTGCACACGATGGTTTTAGTACATTCAGTGCACGTAATATGACTTCTTGTTGGAATCAAAATTAAATTATTATTGTATGCTCCCTTGTGTCTAGTGAGCTGTTCGGAGATTCTGAATTTCTAATATCAAAACGTCTGACGTCTGTTTTCAATGGTTAGCCTGTCCGTCTGTCACTGTCATAGCATTTGAGTTCCAACCAGTGAAAGCCCTCGAGGCTACTGGCCGGCGCAGGCTTCAAGCTGCCTGTCATACTTCAACCACTTCACATGTCTAAAGCATTCGAATACAATTGTAATAAGAGCTCACTGCAGTAATCAGATATCTTAATTAGCGTTGAAGATTAATTAGTTCTGTTTGCGTATATTCTATTATATCTGTACAAAGGTACAACGGTTCAATCTTGGTCCATCATCACCATGGTTTTAATCATAAAATTTCCGTTTGTCTTTAAAATTAAAATGAAACCCTTTTGTGAAAAACTTTTAATTTCGTTCTGTGTTTTCTTTTCATTTTCGTTTTCGTTTGGGGTCAGGGCCTTTGATAATTCGAAATGTCAATTAAATGCTTTTTGTACTTCGTCGATGAAACGGAAAAATCATCTTTCAGTAAATGAGCGCAGTAGGTAGGTAACTGGAATTGAAAGAAATGTACCTTAGAAAAAGTATTCCAAAATTTTGCGGTGCCTTTATATTACGGTCCGTAACAAAAAAGGACTCCAAAAATATTAACGTGTACTTACTATCATCCCTGACCGTAAGCTACTTTAAGATCGTACAAATATCTACAAATTGTTCTTCGCGTAAACAATAGATGCAATTATTTGTGTTACGCGTAACGTAAACCATGTTGTTGTATTATCGACAGATGTATCCCCGACGTTTGGCTAACATACGTACATTTCTATAAAAACTACGCAAAACATTGTTACGTGGAAGCCACGTAATATAAAGTAGCAAAGTAGTACTTTAGTTTCTTAATCAGGCCCAAAGATTGCTGTAATCAGTTTACAAGACAGACAGATTGATGGCCTAAGAACGATGTTAATAGTTCCTTGGTATTGCCCTAATAAGTCACAATCTACCAAGGGTACATTAACAGGAGAGACTTTGCACGATAAAACTCGCCGCGGGGTAAATCCTGAACGAGGGCGGTTCGGTGGTTGGCAGAATCTAATAAACACACAAATCAAATGTTATTTATATCGATAACAGTTAACGCCGATGCTATGATACATAATCATTAATTATGAGGCAATGATGAAGCAATTCAGGATTAGTGTATTATTTTATTAGACAGCAAGACTTCGTTAGATATTAGCGATATTACTAAGACGCGCTGTATAAAATAAATGTGTGGTCTAATTATGACTTTGTAGACCCAATCGATACATTACTAATTACCTCGTTAGTCGGCTTCAGCACTTCTAACACCGAAACTTACATGATTACGTTTTATTTCTTTTCTTTAGTTTGTTAATCCGACTAAAGTACGAAGCTAATAATGTATTTATTGTTGCAGCGTACTACTCCGGCGCCGACCATCAACCTGCCGGATCTCCCAGAGTGTGTAACTAAAGTGGAGGTGGCTACTGGAGGTGATGAAGGGGGTGATACTGCTACGCCCTTGAGCGCGCAACACCAACTGCAACTGTTGCGTGAACGCTTGGAGCAGCAAGCTCAGCAGACTCACGCTGCGGTTGCGCAGCTGTTGCTGCTGAGAGACCAACTGGCTGCCGAACAAGCTGCTCGCTGCGAGGCTCAGGTTTGTCACCGTATATAAATCGGCATTTTATAAGAGCTAGTAGACTAAAAATAAGGTAAAAAGTATTGATATAATATTTGGCTAACAAAAAATCTGCTAGGATAATCTGGTAGCAAACAAGGTAGAATCAATAACGACATATATTGCCTCTTTATATTTAAAAATGTTGAATAGTTCTGCATCCGTGCCGTTTTCATTCTATATGTACCTACATAACAGCCTACATATAAAAAATAGCAAAAGGCGGGTTATCTTTAACCTTTGCCGAATACCTTGGCAAAAACAAGCTTTATCTACTTTATACGAAAAAAATCTTGGGTTCGTTCGTTGAAAACAACGTTCCTATTACTGATACGGACGTGGGACTGACATGTTACAGGAGTAATGTATGTAAACCCGCGAGCCCGCGAGAAACTTCTTCAGATAAACTAAAAAAAGTTATATTTTTCCTCTAACCCCTACTATAGATTTTGAGGTCGACAAGGCGATCAGGAGAATTTTATACATAAGTCCTTCAATAATACACAGTATATATAATTATCATCTCTTTACCATTGATAGAAATTGACCATTACATAAATGTTACTGGGTAGACATTTATGTAATGGTCAATTTCTTGCGTAAGGTGATAATGATAGCCAGTATTTTTCTTTCAGTCTTTAAATAAATAAATCGAAGCATTGTATCTTGTATCGTGTGTATACATATCGATGAGAAGGCGTATTGAGATTTTATTAACATCACGATTATTATCAAGAACGTTTCAACACCAATACAAATGGAACTAGTAAATCTCTACTGTTGAAACATTTTCTACGAACGCTGAGCTTCAGTCACTTATAAAATTGAAACAACTGCCGTTTGCTCGGTCTAAGGGGCTGGTAAACCGGAACATATATTCTTTAATGCACTTTCAAGAGGTTTTCATCTTTATTCCCTTGTGATTGTTCACTGATATTTTAGGAAATGGAATTAAAATTATGTTTGTGGCATAGCTGACACACAGGATGTAATATGTAACTAAATTTTAATTCTACCAGAGGATAATATAGGTACTGTGTACTAAGTCAACAACTGTTTAAAACTTCCATAACAGGATTACTTTTTTAGAAATTGCCCGGTTCGTACAAAGTTTTGATTGGAAATCGACGTCGAAAAGGATTAAAAATTAATACGCTGCGCTGTTCCGACTTGAAGGGATTTTGTGGAACTCTTGTTTGCACGAACAACAAAAAGGATGAGTTCGATGACAGAATGGCAATCCGTTGTTTTGCCATTTTAATCTCTGATCTACCTTGCTCAGTGGCCTTACCAGGCAGGTTCAATTCGGATTCCATTTCCAGGCGGGCAGTTCTACGTATCGAGTCTTATACTCACGTTCTCCAATACGTAGGAAATTAGACCTCATGAGTTTAGATAAAAATAGTTGTACCTACTTTACGCCTCTACGTAATCAGTACAGTACTACTTCAATTTGTTCCAAAATCACACCGATGTAGTCTCCATTAGTCAGCATAATTTTATTATAGTTCATCAAATGTATTTCATTTTCTACGACTTTGTATCTTCCAGGCTCGCACCCACCAACTTCTGGTGCATAACAAAGAACTTCTCGAGCACATTGCAGCTCTGGTTGCCCACTTGCAAGATCGGGAGCGCGGCTCCTCTCGACCAATCAGCGCTCAGCAACTGACGCTCTTGCCCCAGGTATGAAGTATTATGTAACACGTAAAGATAAAAGAGGAATGTATAATTTATTATAACATAACCAGCGAAAAACAAATTGCATGGTACGTCCAGATCTAGTATTTACCAAGTGTGGACGAACCATTACATTTCAAAAAATAATGCATGTCAATAATGCGTATGTTATGTTATGGTATTTCTTTTTAAGTTTATAATTAATTATTTCTCAAAATTTAGCGTTTATGTACACGCACCTATGAGTTTAGTTTTTTATTTTATTTCAGAGTAGTCTCTGAAATCTAAACTTTTACGGGTCTCTGTAGAGACAGATCGGTAGAGACCGATCACTATATGATTTCGTAAGATGTAGTATATTGATCATTGTTTTGAAAAAAATGTGCGTGTACTTAATCGCTACAGTGAATTTGATCATAGAATAAGACTCCCTGTTATATGAAGGGGTAACTATAGTTAGCTATAGCGTTTTTTAAATGTTTTGATCGTCCCTTAGTGACCTCTGTTTGCTAATGTATTTTATTAATTTGCATACATAAAAGGCATGTGCGTTTCGTATTTATTTTAATCGTTACTTCTGTGTGTTCCTGAAAGCAGGGTTTTTTAAAGTGGGGTTTAGAACAATGATGTACATTCTCAAATAATATTTTTTACTTTAAACCCCATTTTATGAAACCAGCTGTTTGATAAGTTTTTTATATAATTAGTTGTGATTGTGACTTTGTTAACGTTTCATTTTCTTCACTCTCATGTCGTCTTAACATGTCGGAACCGTTTTGTCTAAATTGGAGTCGGATTAAGCAGACACATTACAAATTACGATACATTAGTTTATTGCAAAGTTTTCAATTTATTTACGTACGTTTGAAAACTTCTACCTTTCAATTAACTTAAATTATTCAAGTACAGTTACTTGAATAATTTAAGTTAATTTTATTAAAGTGTAGTTAATACGTCTTTTTAATGCATTTCTATTTGCACTACATAAACAATTAGCCGTATTATTTTGATTTGTAGCTACCGACGAGGATTCTTAAAGCAAAATTTTCGGAAACATTATTTCTTTATCCTATTTCTAATTCGGGCAAAAAATTCGTTTATTTGCACGTTTCCCAGTTAAAAACTGGCTCATATATTACAGTAACGTGTTTAGCTAGTGAACTGCAAATACGAGATTGGCGTGTTTGTTACATAGCAAATGTGAACATCCGTTTCTCACCGCTAATCTCCATAGATTGACACGTCATTTGTCACTGTCTATCCTAACCTACGTTACGATTTTATACTGCGCTGTGTAACCGCAGATTTGTAAATTTGTTTTAATTTATTACTACGCGTTTAACCACAATCATTTGAACATTCACACACGATTTGCATATTATTCGTATCGTACATACGCGAAATTTCTTCACGTTTAGCTTTGCTGTTATCATGCCGTACAATAATGTCGCATGTTTGTGGCTTGTTGATGTTACATATTATAATTTTGTGAGTATTTTAGTTATTTTGTTTTTAACTTTTTAAACGCTTTTTTATTTACTAAATGGCTATTTAATTCTCATACTCTCTGACCGCAATTATTAACACTTACTTTCTGTTAACTAGATTCCGAAAAATGCTGAGGCTTTCAAGCCCGACAACGTAGCGGCGTGCAACGGTAACCGTACTCCGACTAACACCGAAGCTCTTATCAACCTGATTTCACAGAATACCAGAGCTAATCAAAACTTAGAGAATAATAACAACATGAATTTCTCGCCGTTTTGCGCATCCCCAGTCCAAGAGACCGCTAATGGCGCTGGCTCAGCTCCCCCTTGCTTCGGCGGTATGACCAATGAGCAAATTCAAAACTACTTGATATCAAAGTTCCAGAACATGGGAGGCTTCCCAAATGGCGGTGAGGCTGCAAGTAAGCCAGCACCCACAATAAACTACAATCAGCAGTTCTTCCAAAACTGCAATGCTTTCCCGAGCATCCCGCCGCTGGCAAGCCACTACAGTAACACTGATTTGGCAAATCTGCTGAGCCAGCAGGGGTACAAAGACATAGGCGGTTCCAATGAAGAGTTTGGCAACTTAGCACAAGCCATGAGTGTTGCCCAGTCCGAAAACTCGCTGTACAGTAACAGCCAGCAGAGTTCATCAAAAGATTCGAGCCCAGATGGCTCCAGCTCTGAAGACGGAGCTCCATTCATAATGCCACTATCGCACAACTGCACTTTGACGGCTACCGGTGAGGACGGACGCGTTAGGCTCATCGTGCCAGTGAGCCCCTCGGAGAGCACATCGGATGTTGTAGAGACACAGGCTGAGCCTCAGCCTTCAAGTTCATCAGGTCATACTTTGCGAGTGCCCGGACAAGAGCGTCCAGGAACATTGCTGGCCCCCGCGGCGCCTATCACCCGCACCACGAGCGAGAAGGTGCCAAACCGAAGCGAGATGATGTCCGCTCTGAGGGCCCAGTGGACTCGCCACACTACGAAGTAAACTCGCACTGAAACTACGCAAAACTGAGTCAAGTTACCTAAAATCTTATTTATATTTAGTCGTATCTTCTATAGTATTTACATCTAATTTTGATCATTTTTTGTACAAAGAGTGTAGGTATATTTTATATGTATAGTATTGTTTTGTATTTTTTTAGGGGTAGATAGTACTCTTGTTTGAGGATTGAGACTTACGATGGTGCCAAACTTATGCCGCATGTACTAATACGTCAATGGCGATAAACGGTCGGGAAACGAAGATATAACATTTATTTACATATCATCTTCTTTGTACATCGCTATTATTTTTATTATGAAACTTGTGAGTAGAACATATCCTTTATCATATCGCCATTAAAGTATAGGTTTTAGTTTTATGAGCCATATCGTTACAGTATGAAGTGCAAGTTATACGCCGATATTTATGCTCTTGAAGATCCATAAAAATGTAATAGTCTGTCTACTATGGCAAGGATTTTATGCTTTCGACGATTTATGTAGTCCTTGTGGTAATCGTGTAATAGTTTAGAAGACATAACTAATTGATGAATATTATTAATTTGATATTGTAACGCTCCGCTTCATAGATATTGAGATTGCAAGCATTCATGTTAGTCGCAGAATAGTAATTAGACCTATACGTTACTAAATGTACTTAGAATTTTCTGATGTTGCATTTTACTTATGGTATTGCAATTAATTGATGTCAATAGCGTTATAAATGTTGCGAGATAATAATTGATAGTTTGTCCGTGTTTATGCATGATTAGTTTCGATATATTCAACATATTCAATGTATTCGTGTTTAATGTAAGTTTATAGATATTCAATACAATGTTTATTATAATATGGAATATTAGCCAGTTTTTGTCGTAATATTAACGTTTCAAGCTTGCTCCTAAAGACAGTCCGATGTTCTTCAAGAAATCACTACTATATTTAAAGAATCATACATTTCATGGAAAGGTGAAAGTTACATTAAGAATGCAAAGCGTGCGTCAAGAATGATTAATGATACTTACGAAGTAACTTGTAGAGAATTAAATAAAAATAAAATTAACAATTTTAGAACTTTACCAAAAATTAAATATGGACCAAAATATATTTTGTGTCTGTAATGTTATGTATAATTTTAATCACAATTTAAATTGTAAAAGACGCCTTGTTGGCTTACTGATGTCAGCCGATTATTATAGTAAAATGAAATGAATTCATGGTGTAAGTGAGATCCACCTTCATTCAGTTGGGGGAATTCCATGAGGCGTTGGCTGGCCAGCGCCTTCAGTAGAATAAGAATATAATTGTTGAAATATCTTCTAGTCAATAACCACTTTATTTTTAATATTAATTCAACGATCTAGTCAATATACTATTGTTATATTTGGGCATGGTGCATGTTATTTAAGCGTAACGGTGTGGATTATTTCGAGGGAATGATGTTTCATAGAGTCCACGCCGTATAAAACAATTTTATATAGTAGGTGAGATGACAAAGCAGTTTGCTATGAATGTGAATGACAACGCATGAGGAACATTGACATTGGTCAGATTGGTTTATGATATCCGAGGTAGGGGTGACGCAGGGCACTGAAGAGAAGGGTTGCCAGAATTATTGGTGTGCTGTACTCGTGCGCCAAATTGTCTTGGCAGTGTGCCCTGGTAACAAGACTGTCGTGCTTTTTACCTAATCCTTTCTAATCCCCTGTCTTACAGAACTGCCACCCCTTAGCTTTACACTTTATGAATGTATTGTTGTATCCACGTACACTCTATATGATAATCATTAAAGTAAACTCTGTATGTGAGCTTATTCTGGTATTATTACGAAAGTTAATCAATTTATCCATGTTTCTAGAAATTGTATCCTGTAATCAATAATGTTAAGGAATAAATAGTCATTTTACTCCGTAAAAAAGATGAAAAATCCAAAAAAATATATGTGTTTATAGGATATACTTACATGATGATTATTAAAATTAATTAGCAGCGATGTCAATGTTTCGATCAAACAATTTAATGTTCAATATAAATGTGTAACCACTGAGTAGAAAATAGCTGAAATTATTATCCATATTTACTCGTACGATTATAATGCAGTTTTGAACTTATTGTATCCTTGTCTACACCTGCAATTAGTGCCCACGAACCATTCAAAGCGAAAAATAGCAATGTGATCCATATTGTTCTATCATTCCATAATATCATTAAATAGCACCTGCTTAACCCGAAACCTATTGTTGTTTTAATATGCTCCCGTTCTGTTTCGTTTTACAACCCTAAGACACAACATATTTTAATTTTATCACATTATACACAATATTACCAAACAGATCCACTAAATGCAGATAACAATAAATAAAAGTTTAAGTCTACCTAGTCTAAGTCTACCTACATGAAGGTAAAAAAACTGTGAATTCGTCGTAGTTTTATTCATATGCAGAGGAATACGAACATAGTCTCACACCATAAGAGCATTTTAAAATTAGGTACATATTAAGATTTAAGGAGTACTATATTCGCTATATAGAAAAAAATATATTAAGTGTCAGTTCACGAATATGGACACGTTAATAAGAAAATAACTAATATTGGACTTAAAACTTAATAAAAAAACATAATAAACAACGCTATAGAAGTAGTAATAACTACGAAGTTTAGTTTTCCGACTAGCTTTTGAAGGGTTTCCGCGAGCGGTGCAGCAGTATGTTGCTAATTCGCTCTAATTAGTATGTTGAGCTGAAAATCTAACTAGCACTAGCTGGCACGCTGATTTCAATGCAGTATGCAGATATTTGTGGCATCAATTGAATTCTTAAAGCAGGCTAAAGAGCCACGTCACGAAAACCCAAAGAATTATGTTCCATGAATTTTTTGAAGTACACATTAAACTTCTATCAAACTACGCTATATTCGCCTGATTATTCACAGAAAGTAATACACCGTAACGCCTTTCCAGTATTGACAAGAAGAAAGAAATAATCGGACTTCTTAATCATTATATATCCCTGCTACACAAACACATTGCTGCATAGCTGAAACAGAGGCATTAGTACGAGTTTCCTTTTCGTTTAAAGTAATCGAAACGAGAAGGCGTTCTGTGCTCTGATTGGTTGGTTCGTTAGAGCCGGCCAATCACAGCGCCGAACGCGTACTCGTTATTACTTTAAACGAAAAAGAAACTCGTATTAAGGCCTCAGAGCTTATAAGGGCCTCATTTCTAGGGACACAAAACCATGAATATAACAATAAAGAATAAAGACTTACTATTGAAAATAAAGTCTACATAATAGTCTATAACCAATACGTTAAGGATTTCTTCGAAGTAAAACCATCAAATAGTACAAAAACCTTACCATAGCTACCTAAATGACTGGTTAAGATATTTGCAACGAGGTACAAAATAAGTGGAGCATGGTAGAATTTCATTTCAAGAACATCTCGAACGTCATCAGATCCAACTGAGCAAAGGAAACAAACTAAGTAGTAATGTGCAAATCAGTAAAACAATACTTGTTTACTATTACTATTAATAGTGAAATAAACACATCAACTCAAAAAAGACGTTTTACATTTCGTAAAACTTCGTAATCTAACTTACGTTTTTCTTGGCTGCATATTCCATTCCGCACTATTTCCCTTTGTTTATAGACAATGGGATTAATGTGTTTACGATTGGCCACGTTCATCGTACATTGATTGTGTACACTCAGAATTCTGTTGAAAACAAATTTCAGAATTAGAAATAGTAGTATTCATCGTAAAACTGGGTTGGTTAACTCATGGTCATAACTTTGCCTTGCCGAAGCATAGACAGTTTATGAACAGAATCATATACATAAACTAGCGGACCCAACAGACGTCCTGCATATCCACTTGAATGTATAAACAAAAATTAATTCAAATTAGTTCAGCTGTTTAGGATAAATAACCTAAACATCGACTGCAGCGCCATCTGCCGGGCTGATTTGTGAATCTAAACCATTCCCAGATCCAAAACACACACAAACACACACAAAAAAATTCATCAAAGTCGGTCCAGTCGTTTGAGAGAAGTTCACTGGCATACACACTCACAGAAGAATTATATACATAAAGATTATCAATTGAAGTAATTGTAGTCGAATATGTCAAACACGTTGTTACGGTCAAAGCAGCCAGTTTTTGGAATGAAACAAATATCATGAGTTAAATATAAGACGTGGGTACAAGTACAGAACTAAAAAAAAATAGGAAACTATCTACGTATTTCTTTCTTTTATTTTAAAAAGGCTTCTGAGTTCTATTTGCAACGAGCCCCAATGGGCATAGTTACGCCACTGTGATCAAGGCGATAGTTTTGCCTTTTGGGAGAAGATCAGTAAATAAATCACGGTATAGTAAAATCGCCTTAATTCTCGTAGCAGCAAAGAATCTAATTCTGGTACCCGATGGCTGCGCCCAATCTCCAGATACCTACAACCTTCAAAGTATATAAACGTCACAATGCGATTTAAAAGAAAAACAAACAAAATCACTTTCGCATTATAAGTACTTACTACCTATTCTCATCGGTTGCTTGCTAACAGGATTAAAATTATCGAAAACACGAGCTCAGTACTTTCGATGAAAATACAAAAAAAAAATACTTTTTACGGGCTTAGCGCTTTAGCGATTCGCCAGTTTTTAATAAAATAACTTGTCTACAGAAGTGCGAAGTCAGAATTCACGCGGAGCAAATGATAAATGTTTTTTTTCTTTTTGATGACTATGGAATCACTCGAGCCCAATAGATATATGGACATGTTTGCTTAGCCAACTCAGCCGTAACAAATTTTACAACCTGCTGAAAGGTAGATGGACAGCGATGTCGCAATAAGGTCCCTTTTTTATCCTTTGTATGGAATCGAAACCCTAATAATCAACATCCCATAAATGTTCCCTCTATAGAACATAACTTCAATGTAACTATAATAATTCTGCCTATGCCTTCAGGCTACAACAGGCACAAAAACATCATACGTA